TCGTCAGGTTCTCTTTAAAATTCATTCCAATTTATCACCCATAAACCGCGTACCAGAACCAAGTTCGTTCCGAGTGGCACGGATTCAGTCAGCCATAAGCAGGGTGTATGATATACAGCAAAACACTAGAGGCATGCTTACTTATTTCGCAAACTATGCAGATACTCACTGAAGGCAACAAATTTGGTGCAAGATTGCCACTGGATGCTCGATTGGGCCAGTTCTGCCAACGTGATTAATCGCTGTTATGAGAAAGGTAACATCGCTGCTTTCATAAAATTGGCATATTTTTTATCCTCCAGTTGATGATAGTGAATGATCATTAGATGTTTGCAAGTTATGATGAGGAGAACGGAACTGTCGGTCCCAAATAGCTACGTGGGAAGAAGAAATGGAAGGGAGTTATGTTTCGGTGCTGTAGAGGAATATATTTGACAAGCGGGCGGCTATTACTATATATTTGCAACGGCTCCATCCATATGCACACCCTTGAAGGCTCATGAAGTCCCTGACTCAAGTCTATGCCACTTGATCTCACGACTATCTTGTATGCACCCTCGTGAACTTTAGTTTCACTTGGCCCAACATCAGTGAACAAATGGAACCTTCATTAGCGACAAATTGATTAGTTGATAGAGGAGTAGGTTGCCCGTATGACACAAGATGTCTGGAAAAACTTGTCAAGGGCGCAAACGAGATTAAAAGGAGTATAAAGTTTTTGTTTCGGGTCCATCGTCCAGTGGGAGTGGTCCACTGAAAAGACGGAGTTGCTGTAAGTAGCGTTTGTACCATTCAATAGATAGAACTATTTCACCGAGGGTGATTTTATACATTTTTCAAGCGCGAGGATGGCGGAGCGACAACGCACGTGGTCATGAAGTTGAAGAAGTGTCGTTGGCTTTTGAGCAAGGCTACCGTGTGTAGCTGAGGCCTCATAATCAGCATCTTGCGTGGACGTGGGCCAAGCAGTTAAGGTAGGTGCCCAAGTTACGCGACATCGCGTGCAGTTATCGCGATGACTGGCAATGCTTGTACCTATTTTCCGTAAATGTAGTTGGGCTTCGTGTCATGCTGCAACTAAATTGCGTGATTGTTTTGAACAAGATGGATGAGGTGTTGTAGATAATTAACATACATGTATCACGTAACGCCACGCTACATACTGACTTGTGGTACATAAGTAGGAATGGAAATCATCCGCAGAGAGGACACTCGCCTCAATTTGTCTTCCACTGTTTCACCGAACAGAAGGAGAGCTCCCTAAATAACTGTGTTGTGCTAACAAACTCATGTCATTTGTTGCGTCTGAGGGATATGAAACATAAAAAATTATTCGCCTATTTGCCTGGGTGTGATTTGCAGTGGGCATTCTGTATGTGTTATGTCATATTTAAAGAACGAAGCGGAGGGCGCAAACCTGCCTAAATTTAATTTCTTCATTTATCTCGTAAAATGGTGATGAAATTGAATTACTGATGTTCGATGACCTTGAAGTTTAGCTCTCCCAAACAAGATGATATGTGTAGCATGAGACAGAAACGTGTAAACGTATGAGACCACTTCACCGTAAAATATGCAACTTCGAACACCCCGTGGTTAAGGAGCAGCACTTAATCCGCGAAAACGATAACGCTTTCGCGCCGAAAGCCGCTTTTGAGCCAGAGGGTTCTGGTCGAGGAACCAAAATATCTTCCCGGCCAGGTTTGGGTGCCCTGGAGATATCACAGACCACGTTCAACCACGATAATTTCAACCAACAACCCTGCCATGCAACCCAGGGTAGCGTATGATTCCACCAACTGGGTCACCTTATTTGCTGCACACAGCATGGCCGGCAGGAGAAAATAGGATACCGCCGACGCATTACTTCTAACGCTTTTGAATTTTCTCTGTTCTACCCCAACCCACTCAAATTTGTGTACTCTCTCCGCAAATCGCAGCACTAAGACTGACCGTTTTGTTCACTTCCCATAACACTCAGTTTCAGGTTTCGCGTGTTCGACTTCATGGACAACCCTGAGCACTTCGAAACATATTTTTGAAACTCCAAAACCCTGTCCGCCTAGCCACTTCTATTGTTTGCATACTTAAGCAAGCAATACGAAATGTAGCTACTGCTCACATCCTGGATTCTCTTGGCATTGATTTATGCCGTCTGTCAAAAACAAGGATACAGGACGCAAGCACTGTAATCAAACTGAATGCCTCTTCGCTCTCTTCCAGGTTCCGGTTGCGCAACTCTGGTGATACAGGTGGATATGCCACCGGAAGTACTGTGCCAAATGATCGAGCGGGAAGCTCTGCAATTCATTGGACTGGCGCTACTGATCTCTGCGCGATTCGCTCGCCAGCGTATGTGAAGAATCTCAAGAAAGTATAATAATGTCCATGGCGAATTGTTTATTGATTATGCGTACGCCTAACTGGCTGTTGCTCCGAATGTGCGGAAGGCAGTTTCCGCGATGCTCTAGGTGCTCTTTTACAACGGGCTGTAGGGTCAAACATCGTTGTGATTGGTGGTGACATGGATGCCCAGATAAACGGATTGGGCGCCGGTTAGGCCCGATCGGGTCGTCATCTTAGGTTTGACATGGGCCGTGCAGGCAACGGTAGTTTCCTGCTTCAAGTTTGTGCCAGTCTGCAATAAAGGTTTTTTCCCATATTGGCCCTAGGCCTGAAACTCACGAGCTAGCCTTCCCACCAACAACAATCACCGATGGTGTAGAACGTACATCAACGCCCGAAACCAGATCGAGAACACCTGTACAGCGCGTTGTATATAGAGTATATGCCGCGAAAACATTCTGGGACTTCTGACGCCCATATGCACCATTGGCAACCGGCACTCGGCCAACACTTTGTCATGATTGGCTGTTGGATTCAGGCCTCCGACTAGTCAAAGCTCACTTCGTTCCCGGACAGGCAAGCCGCCCGAACGTTCGGCTAATCTTGTGCGGGATAAGCTTGTCAGTCATAGCAGCGCCTAGCTGCAAGAGGTAAAACGTTATTTGTCTGGAATTATGCCTAAAAACCCGGCATTGAAACGTGTTCACTTATAAGTGATAACTTATAACTTATAAGTTATAACCTCGAAGTCAGGAGTCTGCTTGTAGTGGCCTCATTGGCTTGCGGATCCTCTCTCTCCAGCATCACAGTGCGATGCTTCACGGATTCACGGATTGATACACAGGATCGAGGNGGCCGCATGTAAGTACAGAGCAACCCCAGTACAATACCCGCCATTGAGGCAGTCAAAAGGATGTCACGGGTTCGTGGGTTCACGGATTCACGTATTCACATTTTGATACACAGGATCGAGGCTTTCGCCCAAGTTTTCCGGGTCGGTTTTGTTCTTGTCGTTCAACGGCTGTCGCTCTCTTGAAAGGCGTGTAGCACTGATCTTCCTGTCCTCAGTGCGAGGTAGCATGCTTGCCAGAGCGAGGATTCGCACAAACAGATGTTTAGTAATGCTTTGAACTGGGTCCTAGAAGGAGCGTGGACAACCGTCGAAGGAAAGCCATTCCACGCCGCTACTACCCGAAATGAGAAAAATTTTGCTTAGTGAATGTGTGCGCATTGAGTTCGAAAATATACTTACCATGTCCCCGCCGTGTGTTTGCTGGGTCCACGGCGAAAAACCTGTCGACAAAGATTTGTTCCAACAGGGCATAAGTAAAGGTCCCCTCGGAGGCGACGATACTACAGGGGAAGGAGATCAAGCATTGTAAAGTTCAGTGAACGTTTGTTGATTCCTTCCACATTTCAGACATTGCTTGAAGTATAAACTTCTTTCGTATTTTCCTTCACGTTTATGTCGGATCTGCTGAAAGACACGTGGTACAGTCATGAATATACATTCGTATTGAATCATTGCTGTTGAATCCCCTGGGAATCAACGGTGAACAAGGGTAACTTTCCTTGTTTTCTGACTACTCACGAGCAACATGACTTACACCTGTTTATTATGACACCGTTTCGTTTTCTTGCTGCTCGTTTTCCCCTCGCATTGTTCCTACTTAAGGTCTGCTTATCCCTCAGTAAGTGATGTCAATGTTTGTTGCCCGTCTGTCATTGCCAGCAAGTTCGCCTCGATTGCACCTATTTTTTGAGCGCCCACTCCGACGGAAAATCGCGCTGACCGGGTATCGAACCCGGACCCTCCGGACGGCAAGCGAACGCGCTATTAACTTCACCGACCTGACGTCCAGGAGGGCCGGTTATTTTGTATCACACATGTATCACGCCTGCCAGATAGCCTTTTGCTGAGCTTTGTTTTAAACGGACGAAGCCGCGTAATCTGACCTGTCGCGCGAAACGAGCGTCTGCGTCGACGCCGACTGAAAGACAGTCCCTCAAGTCCCGAACCTACTGACTCCTCCGCGGTTACGGCCAATTCACTGTGTCAGACTGCCACGATATGTATGTTTGTACATCGTCTGATACTTACTTCTTGTTGTCCCTATAGAAATCCGTGCTGTGACAATGAATACTTCCCGCTCCTGCAGATTGTGTCATTGTTGATTGTACGTTTTCTTAATTCATAATGCTTACTAATCCGTTCGTCTGTAGCACCAGTTCCTGTCAGTCTTCAATATATCATCTCCTGCCCGACGTCTATCTGCTCCTATTGACTACTGGCTACGAATTGCGCATAATCTAATAGTCGCAAACGTCCTGTGAGATCCTTAACCGTCCGGATCTTACAATTGCTGTGTATCACCTATTGACGCTTCTATTCAATCAATAACCGTTGTTTGTTTGTTGTTATTACAGAACCATACCGAATACAACGACAGTCTTCTCGACTTAACAAAGGACCTCTGGTGCGTATACTCAGATAGTGTGTCAGCCGCATATCTTGCATCAATCACCTAGGTTCGAAGTGAAACCTAAAGTTATTCAAGATATCGCAATCCGACGATGGATTGCGTCCTCAAGTATTGTCACGTAACGCTTCTCCTACAGAGCGTGGCGAAGTACATTCATCGGATAATCGCCATATGGAGCTGAAGCTCGCACGTCTGCGTATCAGGGAGTTTGAAATTCAACTTGAACTGCAGAAACATTCTGAAGTGAAAGCCAAAAAGAGCAATCAGGACGAATGCGATTCGCACACTCAATTTCAATCAGATCCAGCTGATTCGGAGTCCATAGCCTTTGTCCTGGAAAGGCAACTGGAATTACAGAAGCACGAATTGCAACGCTTTAATGGGAACCCGAAGGACTATTGGGCCTTCATGAAAGCGTTCAGTAGTACTATTGAAGACCGTACCCGAGACGATGAGGCTCGCCTGGGTCATTTAATACAATATTTTGACGACGAAGCAAAAAGAAGGATTGAGCATTGTACGGTCCTACGACCCAGAAAAGGTTACGGGCTCGCGAAGGAAGTTTTAAGGAAGCGATTTGGCCAGAACTACATGGTGGCCTGAACGCTTATTGACGACTTGATCACTGGGCCTACTATTAAAGATGGTGATTCGTCCGCCCTATCCGATTTGGCACAACAGCTGACCGTGTGTAAGGTAACATTAAGAGAAATGGATTATTCGTCCGATCTTAATTCCCAACATACGATTCAGACCATTGTACGCAGATTACCTTCTCGACTTCGTTTCAAATGGGCCAAAGCTGTCGCTAACATCAGACGAGAAGATCGTAAGCCAGAAGTTACTGACCTTACTGCCTGTATTGAAGCACGCGTTGATAGCCTGTGTTCGGATTACGCCGAACTTCCTCTCAGTCTAGTGTTCGAGGAACGAGGGAGAAAGAGGCCACCGCTATCCGGTTAAATACACGGTAGAAATATTCATTCTACTCAAAAGTTTGCTCCGCGTACCGGTATCGATTCTCGCTATGGTGTCTGTGGCGAAGCCAATTTTCCTGGTCAATGTGCGCAATTCCTTGCGGAGTCATCAGAAATGCGTCGCGAAATCGTATTACGCCGTGACCTATGCAACTTTTGCCTACGCCCGAACCATGTCGCGAAATTCTGCAGGTTGCGAACAGTCTGCTCTCTCAACGGATGCAACGGTCCTCACCACAATTTGTTACATTTAAATGTTGTTCAGAATGCTGATGAACCAAGCGTATCATCACACCACACTTCTCTACATCACTCCGATCAAGCGTTTCCGCGTGTTTCCTCGCGCGGTGTAGCTCTTGCGATCGTTCCAGTTATCGTCGGAAATGGAGGTCGAACCATCAGTACATGCGCCTTTCTCGACAGTGGCTCAGATTCCTCATTTATCTCTCAAGTCCTTGCGACAAGACTAAATTTGCGTTGTCAGCATACCAAACTCAACTTGAAAACATTGGCTAACGGTAAAACTCTCCCGTCGACAGCAATTGGGTTTGATGTAGATTGTCCGGGTTCAAATGAGTCAATCTGTGTTCAACGAGCATGTGTGGTGAAGAACCTTCCTAAAATTAACCGAATTGTTCCGAAACACTACCAGCTAGCAAGATGGACACATTTAAAGGATGTCCTATTTGATAAATACAACAACACCAAGATCGGTATTCTACTGGCATCCGATGTACCTAAGGCTTATTGAATAGAGAAACAACGGAAAGGCTCCTCAGACGAACCATTCGCTATCGAAACGCCACTTGGTTGGACATTGATGGGTCTATTTTATAAATGTTGTACACAACATTCCTTTGTAAATCACACGATAATATGTGATTTTGAGAAAAACCTGGAGCGTTTTTATCAGCAAGATATGCTGGATCCTGGACCTCCAAAATACACGATGTCCGTTTTAGACCGAAGGGCTCTAACTATAATGCAAAACACCGTGATATTCAAAGACGGCCATTAGGAAATAGCATTAGCATGGTTGACCAATCCTTACTCGTCACCTGATAACAAGTCGGCCGTCTTCCGTCGATTAGGCCAGCTGCATTGACTACTTTTGCAACACAACGAGCTGCGCGAACGCTACTGTGAAGTCATGAGCGAATATTTGAAACAGTCTCACGCGGAACGGGTGCAAGAATCACCTTTGGGTTTGAAATGGTATCTCCCACGCCATCCCGCTTTCCACCCAATGAAACCAGGAAAGCTTCGTATAGTCTTTGACTATGCCGCAGATTTCAAAGGGTTTTCTCTGAATGGAAGTTTGATGTCAGGTGCCGATTTAAATAATTTGCTCATCGGCGTCCTTCTTAGGTTTCAGCGGCCGTGGGCTAGACGCACGCCGAAAATTTCTCTGAAACCGTGGTTCGAAGGGGGAAAACTTTAACATAAAGTTTTAACATTTGATGGTAATTTTTCGGGCGTATGAGATCTTCCCAAACGGCCGCAGTTTTGTTGAAAGTTGTTTAAATCTACTCAATCCACACGATATTCAAGACCCGGGATATTCATATTTTAAATGGCTGCTATGGCTGAGCATGTGGATGCGGAGGATGATTTTGTGGAGAATTTAGCTCGCCAAAGTTTTTTCTCATTCAATGCATTTCAAGTCGCTTTGAGAGAGTACCAGACGAAACATTTCGTTGTTTTCGTCCGTATAGACTCCAAAAATAGCAGCAATTCGCCACTTTTGTATGAAAAAGCCTACCGTTGCAGCAGACATCCCTGCAGACGAAGCAGAAGCCGTGGAATTCGTCGCACCTAGTAAGTTAATGGTTGACTGTGTATACGTTGTAGCACAGGTCGTACTGATTGTCCGGCAAGGTTCCACGTTCGCCGGTACCATGGGTGCTTGAGGGTTACTTCCTACTACCTGGAGCACAACCATCCACGCAGCAAGTTTATTTTTGACAGGCTCCCCATCAACCGGCGACTGACAAATGATGAATTAAAGGAGTGTTCTACCCTTTTGAAATACGGTGCTCCGTCATCGGAGATTCGGCAGTACGTCGCCGACCACTTTGGAAAGGTACTCACTATCAAGGATGTGCGTAACTATCGCGTCAAGTGTCGACCCCCATTGTTAAGTAGGTCGTTGGTTACCTTTTAGTTGGTTTCTTAGATGACATGTCGTCCATCATAGCCAAGTTTCGAGAGTGCGGTCGCGTGCTGCTGGTGGAATCGGAGGGTGGCAGATATAGTCACCTGTGCTTTTCTCGAACGCAGCAGATAGCACTCTTTAGACGTTTCCCGGACGTTGTAAACGTTGATGCTACACACGGTACTAACCGTCTTGGGTAAATAAATTTCGAGCCACTGACGTTCGCTGTTAAGTTACAAGCTTTATACATTCCTTGTGACAGATGGCATGGGGATAGGTCGACCGGTAATGTATGCCTTTGTCGAAAGCGAGCATTTTGCGCCATTGCGCAAGCTGTTCAGCTTGTTCAAGGATATGATGGGTGGACAATATGCAGTCAAAACGTTCGTCATGGACAAAATGACTTCACAGATGCGGGCTGCCAAAGCTGTATTTGGCTGCGACGTAATGCTGTGCTATTTTCACGCACGGCAAGCCATCCGGAAGCACGTATGTTTCATAGCTTTGGTGTAACTTTTGCAGACAATTTCCAACCACAGTCGACACATATTCCACCGCATGGCTCGCTTTGATAATGCAGCTGAGTAAGTGACTGTGCACCAAACACTAATCCCGTAGATTTCGCCACGATTTGCAAATCTTGAGGCGAACAGATCCCAGTTTTGTCTCTTATTTGACTGCCCACTGGCTCCACATCACTCGAAAGTGGGCCATTCATGCACAACGTGGGTTGGTACATTTTGGGAATGTGACCAACAACCGCCTGGAGAACGCCAACGGGCGTTTGAAGAGGCGCGTGCATCACTCAGATAGCCTGGAGCATGCCGTTCTGAAGGTCGCTCATCACAGCGAATGGCTAATGCGGGAATATGAAATGCACACCACTTATTGTTGTGACCGTCGAGAAATTCGGGAGGGAGACATCTACGTTCTACGTGTGGTTTCCCGGATGACGACATACGCCGCTAATCAGGTTCTCAGGCACATTGGAATATGCACGCCAAATCTGCTATACAAGCAGACAGATCGCTTCAAGGTGAGAAGCCCGTTGTTAGTAACAGTCAGTTTGTGGTACAAACCCCCAAATGTTCTCAGACAGTAAACACCTCGGCCGGAACCTGCACGTGCATATTTTACCAATCAATGTGGCTGCCTTGTGTACACCTATTTTCAGTATTCAGAGGCCACTCGTTCCCATGCGGTAAGTTGATTGATCGAACATGCAGTGTCTAGGTCAATTTCCAATCCATCAAAGGTGGCTTGCCGAATATAACCTACCGGAGGAAGGAGTACCTTTATCTCTGGTTCCAAAGCCAGATCCATCACCAATAGAGCATTTGCACAAGCAGCTTGATCGGTTGGTTGGCAAACTGAAGCTGCTGGATCCGCGTAAGGCTGCTGGGTGCATGAAGCGTCTGATTGTCCAAAGCCAGCTGATGTTGCGTCAAAATGCAATTAGTGCACAGGACAACCAGCCTCTGGTGTTAGATGGCAACCGCAAACAACCACGGTGGCGTTCGACGTCAAACGACGCTGTTCCCTGTGGTCTCTGTGGCCAGCCAACTGACCCTGCTGATTGGTGGTGTCAACGTGATCGACTTCCATATCACCGTTATTGCTGCGGCAATGAGCCCTGCCCGCTGTGTGGAGAAAATCTTCAGGCGCGTCCACCAAGTGAGTGCACATGTATAAATTAAACTATTCCCATTAGTTGCCGATCAGTCTACCTACCGTTCAGCTAAAAGAGCTTGCTTTGATGTTGATCTTGATCGGTCCATGGAGGACAAGCCGAGTGTGCCCCGTAAGACAGTCGCAATCAAACTGTTTTGTCCAATTTCGGAGTTGATGGAGACCGGTAATTTGAGGCCTAATTTTTTAGCATACGCTTTGCAGACCTCGCTTTCGAATCCCGTGATGACGAGGAATTCGTGTGATTGTAACTCGAAGGCCCCAAATGCCGATTCAATGAACCCATGGCAATCCGCAACGACTATACATTTATCCCTCATCACGGTAATGGGAATTATGAACCACTAGGTAAGCAAACAAATAAAATTCCATTACATCCAGATGCTTAAGTGCTGTTCCAGAAGGTTAATTGCTTGCCCATTTTCCGTTTCAGAATCCTTGTCCCGTGAAGTGGATCTTAAGAACATGAAAAATGGAGCGACTACCAATTAAGCTTGTATCAGTGATGCCAATGAATAAAATGCAATTCGCCAATGGTGTTTTCGTAAATTCATGGCGGGCGCATCATCAACGCGTGGAGTTATGAGTATGGAGCGCCGTCGTTGGCGATTGTATTACGTTGCCGTGCATAGGTGAGGCCCCATTATCTGCGTCGCGAATAGCAGTTACGCTAAGTAGCCGAGGTGAACGACAGCTCATTGTTTCGGGTAATGGAGGGAGTGGTTGAGGGGGTACAATCAAGAGTAGGATTTGGGAGCGCGCTATCAAAATGGGTGGTGATT